CCATGACGGCTCCCGGGACGCTAGGTAAGTCTCCGCTGCTTGCTGAAGTAGGCAGCCGGGCTTGAGCGCAGAGCTCCTTTGGGAGGGCGGGAGCGGATTGCAGCCACACCGCTGTCCCCGCCGGGACGGATGGAAACCACGCTGGAGCACCTGCAGAACTGCTCAGCCCGGGCAGGAGGGAGGGAGGGAGGGAATCCCCTTCCCGGGCTGAGGCTCCCATCGCTTGACTGCGCTCTCGCTCTCTATATCATCTTCGCCACTTTTTTTTCCCTTAATGGCTTGTAATATAAAATATTCAAGCTGTACTATCTCGCTCGATAAATGGTCTCGGATTCGACGTCTGGAAAAGGGAAAGGAGCGAGCCGAGTCCGAAGAGATTAAATGGAGGACCAGTTCATCGGCTTAACTTTTTTTTTCAAAAAAAAAAAGGCAAAAAAAAAGAAAAAGAAAACACAGTATATACAGTATGCAGGCATTGTTTCTTTAAAGGAAGAGAGAGAAAAGTATCTTTCAAAAACGACATGCAGTTTATTTAATCATTTCAAGGCTCTTCCAGCATCTTGTATTTTTATTCAAGATAAATAGTCTCCTGCTATTATTAAGCAACTCATTTCACTCCGTGTTTTGAAGAATATACTTTGCAGATCGTTAATTTGGTCAGCATATAGGAGGAAGCAGATGCAGTGACATCATCAGATTTAGCCAGCTTCAGTGGTTCATGAGTACTGCACATCACAGCATCCCCTGAATTTTCTCAGTGCTCACCAAATTTAATCTGGGAAAGTTTATTTGCATGTGTTTGTGTGTAACAAAGTGTGGCCTGGAAATACCAGCTTCTTTCTTATTTCATTAGCTAGCAGATAAGACCGGTTATAGTGTTGGGAGTATATATGTATGTTTGTACATACACAAATGCATCTGTGGTATAATTGCAGCAATAAAATCAGACCTGTGTTATGAAGTTTCTCTTTATCTAGTAAATAGAATATGTATGTATAATTCTACATAGAGCAAAGAATTGTACTTTAAAGTTTGTGTTGTTTGTTGCTTACCAGAGGATATTACTTTGAATTAGAAAATTTTTACAGAGATAGGAATAGGAAAAAAAAATACATTAGGCTCATCATAAAGAAATATGAAAGTTAAAATGCTTTACTTCCTTATTAAGTATCAGAATAAATCAGTATTTAATGTCAGGAACTGTTATTAGGATGAAATTAGATGTCGGTCTGCAAAAAAAAAACCCTTTGGAATTGTTAGACTAGAATTATTAGATTGTTTCTTAACTCAGCAAATTTATGTATTAACAGCTGTATTATGTTTGTGGAAATATTGTATACATCTGAGGGAAAAAAATACCAGATCAAAACTATATCTGATTAAAATTAATTTTGGTTTTGTTTCCTCCTGAACAGAAGACTTGAAGAATAATCCAATCTATTTTAAAAATCTATTTTAAAACTTTTATTAGGGAAATTAAAGATCTCATTTAACTCTTTCATTAAAATGAATGAGACTTTCAGCTCCAATTTTATAGTCATTTAAGCTGAATGTAATCACATTAGCTGAATGTATTGAATGAATTGAATATAATTCATTTATTATAATTAAATTGGATTTAAATCAAATTTAGTTGTTTTTGTGGGTTTTACCTGTTTCTTGCAACTCTTGAAATATGGTGCTTGGCATATCAGTTCAAGTCCAGATGTTGCATTTGACTCAAATAAGTTTGCATAGTCCTGCTTTAGGAGCAAGGTGCTTTCATTCAAAACAAATGGAACCCAGTTCCTGTGATAGTTGTTTGATATAATGAATAAAGTGAAAATGACTGGAGAAAAAGATAGGCCTGGTTTATTAAATTTATGCTGTATCTTTCCTCCAGGAGTTTGAGATGTTATTCTTACAACAGAACAGCTCTCTTAGTTATGCAGGGTTAAGAACAGTGGCTAAGCAAAAAAGCAGCATATGTTAGTTCTATTGTGTGTTCATTATATTGGTAAAGGAATCTCTTGGGGAGCAAGAGGGAATTAGGATTAGTGATTAAATGCATGTCACGATGCAAACTTCATTCCTTAGGATATTGTGTGTGATATTGTGATGTTGGAGCTTGCATAGTGATAGGTTTCATAATTTCATCATTATGGTAAGGAATAGATGCCCATTCATATCGGCCTCTTTAACACATATCTAAAAAGAGAGCTATTTGATGAAGTCTTTGAAGCACTGGGCTAGAAACTGGGATTCCTAAATCTGCCTTATGTGCAAGGCCAACTTTGGACCAATCACTACTTCTCAAACTTGGAAGACGATAATGACAAACCAGTTCTGAAAATATTGTCAAAATTCCAGACTCAAATGAACAATTTTTATTAATATGGAGAAGATGGATTGTTTATATTCAAAAGAAGCACAGAGTGGTGGAATATAATTTAGGCTTTTAGTAAACTTGTTTTTCTTTTTTTTTAATATATTTTACCTACTCATGTAGAATAATATACTTTGTGGAGTTAGAGATTTTAATATTTGTTTGCTTATATCTGAATATTATCCTGGGATTAGGTTTGGGAAGTCCGGGGTGGGTGGGTGGGGGGTGGTTTTTTTTTTTCTCACATAGCATTGTGATATATTTGTGATGTTTTTCTTATGATGAAAATAATAAAATTTTATAAGGAAAAATTCCAGGGACTTTTCCCGGCCATCACCCCAAGTCAAGACTGACTTAAAAGTACAACTTCCTCAACTCCAAATCTTATACTCGAATAGCCAAGTGTAAGCCTTCCATCCTTCCAAGGTCAGTAAAATGAGGACCCAGATGGTTGGGGCAATATGCTGATTCTGTAAACCGCTTAGAGAGGGCTGTAAAGCTTGAAGTGGTATATAAATCTACGTGCTATTACTATTAACCACTACACCCTACTACATTCTGTTTTCTGTAAATCTCATCACTATACCCTACTACAGGGTGTAGTGATGAGATTTACAGAAAACAGAATTTCAGATCTGTAACAAACTAGTTCCAAATGTTAATGTAAGCAGTTCTGGGCTTACACAAATTGGTAAACCTAAGATTTAGTTCAAGAACTGTATATGACAGCAGGTTAAGATAATAGCATGCAGATGTTTGTTAATTGCAATTTTTGGCTTGTATGTTTTGCAGACATACACTTTGAATGACCCAAAATGCCCACTCATTTTTTCAGCTCAGTTTAGCCTTGGATCTCTGGTCCTAGGTAAATAGCCTTTACTACATTACCTTTAAAGTACTCTAATGGATTTTGTGCTGTGTTCTGATTCTTATTACATAAAGGTGCAAAACAAGGAAAACTAAATATACTTTATGCTGTTAAATATTTCCTTAAATAAATATTTTATTAACTGTAGAAACAGTGACATGAAGCATTGAAATACTGAAATAGCCATTGTAAATGTATGTAGAGTAGTAGGGTGTAGTGGTTAATAGTAATAGCACGTAGACTTATATACCGCTTCACAGTGCTTTACAGCCCTCTCTAAGTGGTTTACAGAGTCAGCATATTGCCCCAACCATCTGGGTCCTCATTTTACTGACCTTGGAAGGCTGAGTCAACCTTGAGCCGGTCAGGATCCAATTCCTGGCAATGGGCAGAGTCAGCCTGCAATATTGCATTCTAATCACTGCGCCACCACAGCTCTTAAGATGTTGAACTGGGACTTTACAAGGTTGTGATGGGAAAAAATTGGAAGACAGCATGTTGAATACATTGAAGCTCTTGAAGGAAAGAGGCAAAATAATCAAACAAATAATCCACGTTGGATAGCCACCATGATGTCTTATTTCTGCTGATTTCAATTGTTTCTGAATCAAATTCTAAAGAAAAGATGATTCCCCAGAGTAGTATGGCAGCACATAAAATCAGCACTGAATTGTGATTATTCAATGTAAATCTACATTCTTCTCAGTTGTTGCATTTTGTATAGAAAAGGTCAGTTGTTTTCTTAAATTTAATTACATGCTGATTATGTTTCTATAATATTGTTAATTTAGTCATGCGCTCTCTAGTCAGTTGACTCACACACACACACACCCCATGTGCAAACAATACAGGGTTGGAGACAATTTCAACACTCCTGCCTGGTGCAGTTTCCTGTTGTATTTTATCAGTTCGCAGTAGTGCAAACAGTGTTGGCACCATCTTTCAGTGTTTGGGCATGTGGGCAGCATTGGGAGGGGTTATCCATGCCCACTTGTCTCAGACCGTTTTCCATCCTCTTTGTGGCTTCAGGGGAAGCATAAAGATTATAACCAGGGCTTTTTTTGTCATAGAATGCCCAGAACAGAGTTCTGGCACCTTTTTTGGATGGAACCTTGTAGGGTAGGCAAGGCGGGTTTTATGACGTGTGAGTTCCGGCACCTTTTTTTTTTTTTTTTTACAAAAAAAAGCACTGATTATAATAAACGTAAGTCAGAGTTCACAAAAGGGACACATTTTCCCAGGGACTATTTTAAGGCTTTGAATTTGTCTAAGTACCAAGAAGGAACAGTTAAGCTGTGGTAAGCAGCTTGCATGATAGAGTTGATGGAAGGGAGAGGGTTACCTTAGTCCCAAATGGAAGCCTGTTCTGGACCTAGGATAGTCACATGACATGCTAACACCTCCCAGACCTACATAAGCAGATCATGCAAACAGGCATTCATCCTTTTTACATAACTGCAGAGGCTTTTTGAATTGCATCTAACACATTTAGCACTAAGGAATGAATATGAAAGCTGGAAAGAAAACATTTCATTAGAAAACCTTTCACAGGAAAATTTAAAGCTTACCTAATTTTAGTAATTCCTGCTGAGCTATTCAAGTCTTTAAAATTGGTTTATCCATATAAGAAAAGCATACTACGATGAATAGAAAATGGAAGAATTTAAGGTAAAAATGTGCTTTTTTGTAAATTATTAGAGTGGTGTGAATTTATTACATTTTATATTAGTAAAAGGAATAGCAGAATTATGATAATTATCTATCCCATTGTATGTTTTTCATAGCAGAAATGCCCAGACAATTCGCAAAGTTAAACATGTCTGAAGTTGATGAATCCGTGCGACTCTTAGCTGAAAAGGTTTTTGCCAAGGTTCTTCGAGAAGAAGATAGCAAAGATGCCTTGTCTCTTTTCACCGTGCCTGAAGATTGTCCAATCGGGCAGCAAGAGGCCAAAGAAAGAGAACTTCAGAAGGAATTGGCAGAACAGCAATCTTTGGAAACTACCAAAAGGTAGGTTTCACGGGGTGGAAGAATATTTAGTAATGAGGTTTGAGGTCTGCTAAAACAGTTGTTTGATACCATCTGATGTAATATGTGAAGTCTTGTCACTCTCTAGTCCTGCCATTGGCTTTCGTATGGTTTTAGTCTTTTTTTGTTGATGTATTCTTCATTGACTGGTAATGTGTTATCAAGTTGCTGTCTTAACAAATACTATAGATATATTTTCTCCATGATGATCTGTCCTTACACTGGTCTTTCAGATCTTTTCAACAGTACATCCATTGCCACGGTAACTGAGTTTATCCGCCTTGATGCTGGTTGTCTTCTTCTCTTTTCTGTGACTTCTTATTTACGTGAATAAACCCACTTCTGATTTATTCAGTTAAACTAAAGGTGGGGAATGCCATTTAGAAATGAAATCAACACCTACAGAAAATCTAAAAAAGTGAGCAAATCATGAGTCCAATTGATTCTACTACTTATGCAGCTTATGTGCAAGTATGAGCCTACATAACTTCATTCTTTTTTTCATCTTTCCTGCAGATACCCATTTGGTAAAGGCATATTAAGGTGTTTTGTTTTTTTAAAAAAAAATTGCTCTTTGACTATTGTGCAAAGTTCATACTTGTTCCTAAGATTCTCTGTCTTTCTCACCAGGAATAGAGGACAGATAATCAACAAGCAGCTGTAGATGGCCAAGACATAAATACGAAAGATGTTTATGGGCATCACACAATCAGTCAAATGGTTCCTTCTAGTTATGTTTCCTTCTGTCACAATATTTAGCAAGTTAATTAAACAGAAGTACTGCTTCTTAATGTGGGGGAAATGACTTCAGTTAAACAGTTTACATTGCAATACTATCAATCTTGAAATAAGCTTACAAATATTGATCATTGGATAAACATTGTGACATTAAACATTTGTACTGAAGTCTCAAAAGAGCGTTTGTCTAACACTCTTGCAAAGTCAGTATAATTACCATATTTTACAATCCTTAATATTTTCCATAAATACCTTTTTTGAACATTTCTAATGAGATTTCTACATGAGACAGAAGTAACATAGTGGGTTCATGAAATAGAAAAAAAAAGCCTTTTGAATAAAGAAATGTGTGCATTATTTTTTTAGAAGATTTCCAGAGCAAAGAGAGTATTGTTGCCTTAAATTGATGTTTTGTTGACTTTAGATTGTGTATTATGTATACCTAGGAAGAAAAGTTTCAAGATGATTCGATCCCAGTCCTTGTCATTACAAATTCCATTGCAAGACTGGAAACCTCCATCAGCTACTCCGGCTGTGTCTCCTCCTACTCCAGTTCTTCCAGGTGCCTTTCAGTCTATCCAAGGGACATACGATGTACCAGAATTTCAAAGAGTTACAATTAGTGGGGATTACTGTGCTGGGGTAAGCCAACAGACAGATTATGGCAATGATTTTTTTCCTTATAAATTTATTATTGTAGATATAACATGAAATTAAACTATTATTTTATGATGTCAGTACTTGCTTAAGCAGCCATGGGAATTGTGTCCTGGTCAACAGCTTTGTTGCGGTGAATAAAGATATAATATGCTACTATACAGAATTCCAAATGATACATTTGGAGTACACAATTTGTCCTGTGGGATTCCTGTAGTAGTATAAGCCAGCCTTTATCTTTGCTCTCTTCTTCATGTTAATCCACAACTGGAGGCATGTACTGCTAAACAACATGACTAGACATTACCTAAAATAGGAAGTCCAAGCATATTTTCCATAGTGACATATATTGGCCTCGTTCCATTTGCAGGATATTATTACTAGGAATATGAAGTTGGAGTCAAATAACTAGAGGTCCAGAGGCCCCCAGCTTCAGGTAACAAATAGGATATTACATCTTCACTTGTAAGATGTGTTGATATGAAGTAACGGTGTTCATTAAACTGAAAGGATCCTTTCTAACAAATCCTCAGAAGTCAGATATCAGCCTAGACCTGAACAGAATTTCTCGAACCATTAACTTCAGCCAAAGTTCTGGAAATATGTTTTGCAATTTACTATATTAGCTGAGATCTTAATCACGTTGTTTAAAAAGTTATATTTGAAATCAGTGGATCCTATCTCTAATTCTCATCTCACTGAAGTGATAAATCTTAGCCAGACAACAGATAGAAGGTGGATAATTAAATACCCATCTGTACAACATTTTCACACAAGATATTTAATAGGACATTAGTGAGAAGCATTCTGTCACAATTTTCTAGCTTTTTATATGCAGGGAATTCCTTTGAATGAAGGAGCATTCCGTGAATTGACTCCCACTTGCATTCTTGAGTAATATAGCCCACATGCAGACAGCTGCTTTCCACCCCAGAGCTGGCAGGAAATCTTGCCTATTCTAAATAGTTATACCCCCGTAGTGGCACCCTATGTCTCAAATATGTCTGTGCTCCACTGTGTTCATGCAACTTTAACACAAGCATTCTTTTTTTTTTTTACAAATATTTTTATTCTATTTCATAAACATTAAAATGCAAACTAACATAAAGGGAAAATAGGGAGGGGAATAATAGGACAAGTTAAAAGGTGACAAAAAATACATCAGATAATTTTTAAAAATGACTTCTGACTTATTTCAGTACAAAGATAACAACCATTCTGCAATTGAAATGAATGTTCAATATTTAAACTGTCTTAGAATGCTAATTATCAATACTCTAGAACAGACATGTCAAACTCGCGACATCATGTGACGTCGCACAACGTATCAGGACGGTTTTGCCATTGCCGGCAATGGGGCCGGCAATTTGACACCCCTGCTCTAGAAAACCAATATGCATACCTTCTTCTCATAATTTTAATCTAACATATAATAACTGATCAAATATGTCTAACCATGTATTTAAAAAATTCATTAGTAGTTACGAAGGTTGGCTATCTTAACTGAAATTCCAGCCTTGCCCAACATCATCCAGTATGTGAACTTATTTATTTGTTGTTCGGTTTATATGTCTGCCCACTTATTGGCTGGCAGGTACAGTAAAAATTGATTACTTCATGAACTACAGGCTTTTTTTTCTGTTCTACTGTTGACCAATTTAACTTTAAAGCTTGCTTTGAAACTATGAGTGGACTGGTTAACTGTTTGGCCTATGAATCGCTGGCAGAGTTAGGCTATTTGTAACTCTTAAGTTTAATGCTGCTAAACAGATGGAATTTGAGAATTGGTCAGCTGTGAAGGTGAACATAGGAATTATAAATTACCTTTAGAATGTAAGAAGATGAAGAATGAATCAGGGATTACTTGGAACTGCATAGAAAGGCAAGTCCTAACCCCACAGGCTATAGAAAAGGGGTGTCAAACTGCCGGCCCACGGGCTGAACGCGTCATGACGAAACCGCGCCCACCCCATTGCCAGCAATGGGGAAAAAGCTCCGATACGTCGTGCGACGTCACGTGACGTCGCGAGTTTGACATGTCTGCTATAGAACCTCAATAGCTGAGCCTTTTCAGTTATACACTAATGCTGTCAACCAGGACTTTACACTAAATTAATTGGTTGATCAATTTTTTTTTTTTAAAAAAGGTGACTGCAAAAGTTCTGGTCTCTTTTGCAACCAAAAGAGAACCAGAGCATGGGTAAGGAGTTCAGGGACGAGATGGGAGGGAATTATTCCATGGAAAAGAGGCAGAATTGGAACCACAAGATTTTAGTTTAAGCCATCCTTGGGCACTGTCCCCTGTGGGAAGATGGTGAGATAGAGGCTATGGCATGTTTTTGGAAAATGTTTAGTGGGCTGACCATGCACCAGGCAAGGAGGCTATTGGGATTTTCCTGTAGTCTGGCAGAGGTGTATTGCTTCAAAGAGAAGCACACTTTACTTCCAAGTACATTCATTGTGGATTAGGATTATGCTTTTAATTATTAACTGTGTAACCTCTCCCTTTAGGTTACAGTTGATGATTATGAACAAGCTGCCAGAAATTTAGCAAAAGCTTTACTTATTCGAGAGAAGTATTGCCGCTTTGCTTACCATCGTTTTCCAAGGACAACAGCACAATATTTATGCAGTATGAAAAATGAAAAGTGGAAAATTGAAGATGAAGTACTTCCAGGTAAATTATCTCTAATTAAAAAATAATGCTTCGATTTCTGTCCGAATCCCACCATTGAGCTAATTCATAGTTTCCTTAAACCTTGGTTTGTTAAACAAAATGTCATGATCCAAGTAGTATTTAGCTTTAAAGCATGTCATTTCTTAAAACCATAATTGTACTCAATGACAACAAATGAAATTATTAATTTTTTTTTCAACATGTAAATCTAGCCATAGATATTTATTTACTTATTTAAGCAAAATAAGCACTTAAAAAGTGGTAGAAGTTCTAAAAAACACCTGCTGATATATTTTGCATGCATAAATTATAGTATAGTATAGAAATCTGAAATCTGTCTCCAGCACAATATTTTGTCCATGAAATACCATGATATAGCCAAAGCTTGTTCATTAAATTGCAGTTGGATTACTGATTGTTCAGAGCTTTCAACTCTATTTTATAAGCCACATTCATGGAACAAGCTGAGCAAAAAGCAAACTAACCAGATAATGGTTTTAAAAAGATGGTAACCTGGAATCAATTAAGATTTTAAAATATATTCAGTCTGATTAACACATGAAAAGACCTGTTATATATTTTCTTCCTTTCAAATAGAATTAGTTATGGATCTCTAATTAACACTCACCCATCCATACCATTTCCTCTTCACGACCTGTTTTCCTTGTTACCTTCTGGGAGGAGGGGGCTTCGTGGTATCCGAAGCAGAACATCCAGATTCAGCCAGAGTTTCATTCCATACAGCATTAACCTTGCGAACTCTCAAGCTTCCTCCTTCCGTTATATATTCAAGATGGATAATATTTAATGTTTATTTGCTACGTATATGTAGGGATGTGGGTCTATACATATTTTGTTCATAGTATGTTTAGGTGTGTGTCATGTATGTGTTTCACTTTGAGAGCGGGCAACTAAATTTCATTTTTGATGTGTGCCTTTGTGCCCACAGTATAAAAATGACAATAAAGGTTATCTTATCTTATCTTGATACTCATAAAAAAATCATGCTGATTTCTAAGGACATGGACACAGACTAATGTAAGCATATTTTAGTAAATATGATATAGATAGCTGTAGGCAACTGCTGTGCATTACATTTTTAGATAATGCAGGAATTTCCTACTGTATCAACAAAAATAAGTTTATTTGGTTTTAGTTTTTCCCCTATGCATTAAGAAGAGTTTGACATGCCAAAATAAAACAGTTAATGGTACTTAATTTAAGCAAGAAAAAATACATTCTGCTATATTAATGTGGAGATGCAGTTACAGATATTAAAATATGGTATCATTAAGTGAGAACTTAATTCCCCTTTTTAAATCTTTGGAATAGTGAATACTTTTTCTATATCCTAACCAGATTTGGTTGGCCCTTTCTTGGACTGAAAGGTGAAAAATAATCTTAAATATTAGAAGGGTCTGCAGGGAGGGGCAAGGGGAACAAACAATGAAAACAGCACAAGCTCTGCCTCTACAGTGTATCTGCCATGATGTGAAACTAACATGTTGCTATCATTTGATACAAGTGCTAATACCTCTTTAATTACTTTAAAATTGCTTCTAAAATTTATTTGGGTTTGAAAAATATATAGAGAAAATGACTGCTTCAGAGCTAGCCCTCTTACAATATGGAGCTGTATGTATTTTTTTTCTTCCTTCAATATATGAATACACTTTGTTGCATTGTAAAATGTAGTTAATAATAAACCAAATCAATGATTTATGTAACTGCTGGATGGTACTCCATATATTTTGGTTAATAAATATCCTTGAACCACTTAGTGTGGAAGCAAAACTACTGTTTCATAATAAGACCAATATGATATAGCATACAGTTCTTTTTAGAAAAGCTATTGGTTACTAACAATTTAATTTCCAGTTACAATAGAATGAGTCTGTATTTTAAATGATGCTAGAATGTTGGACCTTGATGTTTTACAGATTTCCATCCACCACCAAAGGAACTGCAGGATCCTTACAATCTTGATGACTCTCCGGGGAACTTGGACTATGTTGTAAAGATGAAGGAAGGCATCTTTTTAGTTTTTGAAAACAAAGACATGATGGAACTTTTTGAACCACGAAGTTTGCCTTATCCTGATCTACAGACCTACACTCTTGACCTCAGCCATGTACTGGCTCTTATTGCCGATGGCCCAACGTACTGGTTCTTTTTAATTTTAACCATAAGGCTAGGATATTAAATACTTTATTAATCATAATGCTGCAGTTGTTCTTCAGCCACTTCTGTTTGATGAAGTTCTAGAACCCTAATCCTATACAAGTTTATTTAGAAATAGCTTTAATCTGAAAATACATTATTAGGTGCATGTAGAGACAGCGGAAGAACAGTATGGGTTACATCTGAGTTGTGGTAGTAGCTTAGGTTAACTCCCAGCATTTTCTGAAAAGTAAATATAAATAAATGTTCCTTAGTTAGAAGAATGGAAATGACTCATCGAATGTGAAACAGTTGTTTTAGTGTGAAATAGTGCATTTTGAACCTGAATTGGAATGCTTCAAATTTAAAACAGTTCTAGTTCAAAGTTAGGACATGTCAAAAAGATAAGATGGTGCATACAACTATGAGATCAGTCCTGCCCCTTTTTTACATACAGGGGACACATTTTAAAAAGGACTTGTTTCACTTGTGTACTCACAACTGTCTTATTTACATTTTGAACATTGTCCATGGAGTCGCGATGGGTCAGACACGACTTCGCAATTAACAACATTGCAGAGGTCCCTGACCTGTATTACTTATATATCTGATTCCCCAATAAATATCTGTTATTTAATATAAAACAATTCTTTTCTATATAACAGGGGTCCCCAACCCCCCGGTCCATGGACCAGTACTGGGCCACGGCATGCCAGCAACTAATCTGCACAAACAAGGAAAGCTCCATCCACAGGATGCAGGCAGCACACAAAGCCACGCCCCCTCCGATCCATAAAAAAACCTCTCTCCATGTAACTGGTCCCTGGTGCCTAAAAGGTTGGGGACCTCTGCTATATAACATAAAAGTATAATTAACCAATGATGATTCATCTTTCACAGGAAAACATATTGCCACAAGCGGCTTAACTTTCTAGGATCTAAGTTTGGTTTACATGAAATGCTAAATGAGATGTCTGAACTAAAAGAACTGAAGAGTAACCCTCATCGAGATTTTTATAATGTAAGAAAGGTAAGTGAAAGATTATGCAATTCTTCTTCTTCATTTTTTTACATCTAGTCTCCCCAATCACTGAAACTGTCTTGTCGTATATTAAAATGTTGTGGTATCCATTATTTCTTGTCTTGCCTTCTGGTGCTTTGGAAAATAAATTGACTCCCTATTTCTTGTGGCAGCCTTTCAAATACTGGAATACTGCTATCATGCCCCCCCCCCCCCAGTCCTTCTTTTCTCTAGACTGGCCATTCCCAAATCCTGCAACCGTTCTTCATATGTTTTAGTCTCCAGGCCTTTAATCATCTTAGTTGCTCTTCTTTGCACTTTTTCCCAAAGTCTCAACATCTTTAGTACTAAGGTCTTCTAGTAATCTAACACAGGGGTCCTCAACCTTGGCAACTTTAAGACTTGTGGACTTCAACTCAGCCAGCTTTGTTGGCTGAGGAATTCTTCGAGTTGAAGTCCACAAGTCTTAAAGTTGCCAAGGTTGAGGACCCCTGATCTAACAGATGCCTCACTGGGTCTAGTACTCAAGGAAGAAAACGAGAGATATAGAAAAACTCCTGTTACGATTGAAAGGGTTGTGGGGAGAGGGGGCGTGAAAAGGGTTAGTCTCTCTTTTACCTATATCAGTTCCTCCAGATCTTCTGTGGAAGAGGCGGAGCCTCTCCTAATGAGCTTTTTCAAGCTTCCTCTTGTATAAGAGGGAGAATTAGACACAGAATTAGAGAACTAGCAACAGGTTTGCCTAATTTTTCTTCCTCCAGTCATTTCCCCATTTAATAGATTTTGGTAACTTAGGCCACATGTAGAAATCTAAAAAATGGTCACAAGAGAAATAATTGATATCATTGGAGAAAAGGGGAGGTGCAAAGATAAGTAAAATAAAGCATTCTATGTAGCATTTTACTTTGAATGCTGACTGTATTTTTATATTTTATTTTATTTATATAGGGTGAACAGAATTGCTTATTATAGTGAGGAGAAATAAAGACTAAGAATAAGGGAAATAAGCAAAAACAGGCAGGGTGGAAATAGTGAATTCTGCAGGCACTAAAGGAGATTCTTATATCTTAAAATATCTCTGTTAAGTCTCTTTCAGGACTGGCCCAGATGGTGTGCAGTTTCATGTTTATTGACTATCACAAGAGGCTAATAATGTTTAGTACAAGCATTGCATATGAGCAGAGGGGACAGAGTGACCTTGCTTGGGAAGGAATGATATAAACATTGCCCTCATAAGATTACTCTGAATTCTAGGAAGTCCTTACTGTGACTGATGTACATACAAGTTATAAGACAAGCCCAGAATAAACTATCCATAAATCATCCAGTAATAAACAACTCAACAAGTATTTGAGGTTGCTATTTAGACCAGAGGTAGGCAACCTCGGCTCTTTTATGACTCCTGGTGCATAGCTGAGCATAGCTGGCTCAGGAATTCTGGGAGTTAAAGTCCACGAGTCATAAAAGAGCCAAGGTTGCCTACCCCTGATCTAGACTGTGTAGGTGTAACAGGTTTTTTTTTCTCCAAATAGATGAAAGCAAAATAATACATCTAAAATGTTCTGTTATACATTGTAATGCTATTGTAGAGACCTTTCAGATTTCAAATCAGATTATTATAACATACAACAAGTACATAATAAAGGTAATCCTCAACGTACAACCATTTGTTCAGTAAAGGCATTTTAAAAAGTGACTTATGACCGTTTTTCACATTTACGACTACTGCAGCATCCCCCTGGTCACATGATCATTTTTTTGGCTTTTGGTAACTGGCATATGGTTATGGTAGTTACATTGTCTTGTGATCATGTGATCACTATTTGTAATCTTCCCAGCTGGCTTCTGACAAAGTGAATTGGGAAAAGCCAGATTCGCTTAACGACCATAAAGTTCACTCAACAACTGCAGTGATTTACTTAGCAACTGTGACAAAAGGGTCATAAAATGGGGGGGGGGAATTCACTTAACAACTGCCTTGCTTAGCAACAAATTTTGGGCTCAGTTGGGATCATAAGTCGAGGATTACCTATAAAATAGCAGTCAGTTAAACCAATTGAAAATCTGATCATGGAAAGAGTGAATTGTGTATTTATAGTATCTCATTGTCTCAGAATTACTGTCACTTATAACTAGAGTTGCTGATTGCTTCTATTGCTAACCTAGCAATATATGTCAAATGAATGAACATCTTCAGTCTTCAGAATCTACTCTGAAAGATTAGAGAACCTTTTAATAAGAATAATAAGAATGCGATAGCTTTGTAATATTGACCAATGTAAATCTTTCACCATAGCCTCCTCCCTCCCTCCCTCCCTCCCTCCCTCCTTCCTTCCTTCCTTCCTTCCTTCCTTCCTTCCTTCCTTCCTTCCTTCCTAAATTTTTATGGTGTCCATTTCACTGATACAGCAATTCGGCTGGCTTACAATATAATGAAAAATAAAAAAGGCCATAAAAGGAAATTAAAATTAGGTCAGTAAAATAGGAAAGCTAAAAACCAAGATGATAGGTGGCCTGGAGTGGGGATCTTCCCTACCCCGTCATCCATCCCCAATACAACATGCGTCTGTCAGGGTCCCAAGGCAGGCAGCAGAGCCAAGTTTTCAGGTTCTTGGGAAGGAGTGTGGAAGTGGACCTCACCTCCAGTGGGAGAATATTCCAGAGGGCAGGCGCCACAGCAGAAAGGCTCTTCTCTTAGACCCCTCACCCATCTTCCACCCAAAATTCCTTGGTTGATGGGATCCAAAGTAGACCTATTTCAGTGAAATGAGTGGGGACCCATGCAATAAAGGGCTTTAAAGATAAAGACCAAAACTTTGAGTTGGACACGGAAGGAAATTGGTAACCAGTGCAGCTTGTGTAACAGCGTTGTCATATGTGCAGACCTCCAGAACTTTCTGCAACACTGCATTCTGTACCAGTTGTAGCTTCCAAATAATCTTCAAGGGTAGCCCCATGTAGAGCACATTGCAGTAATCCAACTGAGAGATGGCCAGGGCATGAGTGACTTCGCAGGGCCTCACAATACAGGAAAGAGCAAAATTGCTGCACAATACAAAGTTGTGCAAAGGCTTTCCTGGTCACGGCTGCCATCTGCTCTTTGAACAGGAGTTGCGAGCATAGAAGAATTCCCAGATCTGGGGTAATGCAACCTCATCCAGAGCTAAAGATGATAAACCAACAGATCCACAGTCACTCTGTCTTACCGGGGTTCAGTTAAAGCCTGCTGTTCTCCATCCAGACCCCCACAGCCTCCAGGCACCACGAGAGGATAGCTACAGGATCACTTAGATCACCAGGAATTGAGATAAAAAGTTGGGTATCATTGGCATATTGATGATACCTCATCCCTTGGTGTTGGACAATTTCGCCCAGAAGTTTTATGTAGATATTAAGGAGTGGAGAGAGCACCAAGCCTTGCGACAAGCCACAAAGAAGCAGTCATGTACTAGACCTTTTGCTCCCTATCAACACCAATTGGAATTGGCCTTAATGAAAGGAGCTAAATCAGCACAACACTGCAATGCCCAGCCCCAAATCCCATAGTTGGCTTAAAAGGATAACATACTTTTTCCATCACCTTCTCCCTCCCTCCTTCCCTCCCTCCCTGTATAATGGTGGCACTGAATAACCTGTGAGAAGTGATTTGATGCGTTATGCCCCCAAATGTTTAAAGCACAATTCCTAAGCAGTATTGCCAATGACCATAATGCTAGGATTTGTAGTAGAACTAGGGGAACTGGGTTTGTTTAGCCCTGACAATATAACAGCACACTCAAATATCCAAAGAGATGTGTAAAGCAGAAGATAAAACAATCATCTTCAGGTACAGACAATTTTAGCTGAACCTTAAAAAAGAAAAATGGGAGAAAGTCAGCAGGAAAACAAATGATTTAGAACAGAGGTCCCCAACCTTTTGGGCACCAGAGACTGGTTCCGTGAAGAAAAGTTTTTTCCGCGGACTGGAGAGTGTGTGGTTTTGTGTGCTGCCTGCATCCCACGGATGGGGCTTTGCTTGTTTGTGTGGCCCAGTTGCTGGCATGCAGCGGCCCAGTACTGGTCTACAGACCGGGGGTTGATTTAGAAGATGGTGAACTCTTCTTTGCTGAATATTCTCAATTCAATTTGGATTCCTGCTGTGACAGGTGGTTGGACTTGATAACTTAAATGACTCCTTCCAGCTCTGTGAATCAGTGACATTTTGAGAGCACTTGATTGCTTCCACCTATCCTGAAGTGTAGTTGATGAAATGAAATGACATTATTTTCATTTGCTCAGGGGACATTAGCTTAGTTGGAGAGAAAATTAGTTTGAGCATGCAGTCGGTTAAATATGAGTTTCTATGCTGTAGTTTTTCTTTCTGTAACAACTACTATTATCCAATCTAAGAATTTATATGTTCAGTGTTGTTATTTATTTATGAGTTATATTAATTATATAGCCACCCATTTCACAATTGTGACTCTGAGAGTGAAAAGATTTCCAACTAACCAACAAAAGAATAAATAATAATAAGGCAACCATAATTCAGTAATGTTAAGTAAATTCTGGGCAATATGTTCAAATCAAAGCTATTTTTGTTGGTTTCTCTGTTTGCCATGCTTCTTCAGTCTTCTACGAATGTTTATATAGACTTTGGCTTTTCTTTCTAATTTGCGTAGGAAAATCATAGATGAAAAGGAATATTGATAATGCTTTTGGATCATGAACTTGAATTGATATCTGTAAGAAGTTCTGATTCTTGCCAGGTTACATAAAAAATTTGATACATTTTATCTAGATGCTATATACTTGCTGTGCTAGTCCTATGTTTATGAATCGTGTTACCAGACATCTGAACAGGCAAAGAAAGACACATTAACTTAACATTACAAAGATGTATTTAGGCCAAAATGTATGTGAAATTACTTTTTCCAGCATTAGGAAGACTGGTTTTTTTCAGTCACAATATTTTTCCAGCAAATCTTTATGTTCAAGAACATGCGCTATTGATAATATGGAATTGATGG